AAATGTGGCCCCAACTTTCTTGAATAGAAGAGGCAAGGATTTGAGACTGTTAATTTTTTGTCAACGTTTAGATGGTTGATAAAGAAAATTAAATAACACTTGAAGGGCATTTATATCTTTTTCAAATGCCACTTAACGGCKGGTTAACAGCTAGTTAACGGTAGGTACTAGATTGCCACACTTTAAAAGTTTGAGTACTGAATTGTTGCATTTTAAAAATCGGGGATCAAAGTGGCACTAGGCCCAAAGTATAGGGTACTAATCGGGRATTTTCCCCATCTTAAAGTACCCCTAAGTTTTCTGACAATTACCATCATCATTACATATTGACGAAAAAAAGGAAAAATATCAAATTTACCTTCCATTATCTCTCAAATTTTCAAAACAAAATCCAATAAAAAATTTTTCATCTACTCTACTTTACTGGTGTTGCAGTATCTATTCGAGCATGGACCATCGGCCCATGTAACAGACTTGTGAATTCCACGTGGTTGCAAACTTGCAATGAAGCATCAATTTCACACCGAGAGGGCTACGATGTGCACTGAACAGCCATCATTCGGTTGTTAACAAACAACGAACACAAGGAGTCCGTTTAGATAACGAAACCTTATTGGTGAATTGGGGAAGGAGGTGTATGATAACTGATAAGAGGTGGATGGTGCGCAAAGATAAGGGGGTTCTTTTTTTCCTCTTTTGTACCTCTCACGGGAGTGCCATGATCGCCCGGGTTGGAAGTGGGTGCACACACTCTGGCCTATTTCTCTCCAACTCCTTTCTAGGAAAGGAATTTGGACCCCTCTCTCTCTCTMTATATATATATACCAAATTTTGAGAATTAGAATATAACAACGATTTTATCTTTGGATCGACCGGATTCTAGGAGAAGGATGAAATGGTTTTCTCGTTTCTGTTTTAACTTTTAACCGTTTTTGGTGTGTATACGTTATAATGAGATCAAATTGTAAAATGCATTTACAAAATTTCTTATTTGTCTGCATTTTCCAGATTTTCCTTTTTGGATCTGGAGTTTTTTGTTCATATTTGAAGATTCAGCAGTCACAGATTAGGTTAAACCCATTTTCAGCGATGGGTTGCATTTCTGAACTACATTACTTAGCAGATTTATGTATCTGTAAATATGGGCGTGTGTGTTTGATAGATTGTTTGCAGGGAGGATCTTCTTTTCAGGGGTTCGATTCCATTCCTTTAAGGAGGAAAAGATGAAAGTCTGTCATGCTCATGTGTGGATATATGAAGAACATATCAACATGTTCTGAGTTTGATGATGTGGATGGATGTTTATGAAGCAGATCACACACCACGGAATGAAACAGACTCGAAGGAAAAACCAGTCAATGGATGTTTACTAGGAGAGAAAAAACCAGTTAATGAAAGGAAATTGTAAAATGGTTTTACAAAATTTCTCTGTGCAATTTTCTGTCTTTAGACTCCTTATAAAACCTTAATTTTTTGACATTTCTTTTGAGATCCACTAAGAGGGGAGAGAACACAGAAGTTCTTAATCGAATCAAAGGGACGCAACAGCACAAATAAGTAACATGTCTTCTATATGGTTTCTCTCTATGAAAAGTTTTATGGTTTTGGATCGAGAGAGAGATGTCCAAGGCATTAGTTCAGCCGATAGGACAGAAGAGATTAACGAACGTGGCAGTGGTTCGTCTGAAGAAGCATGGAATGTGATTCGAGATCACCTGCTACAAGAACATGGTCATCTCATGGTTTTCTGGCGTGTATGGAGAAGAGAGTGAAAGATGTTGGTGATGCAAAAGGGTATTTTTAAGAAAATATATCAGTCATGTGAGTCATATACGACGGAATGTAACAGAAAATTAACAGCAAATGAGGTTTTAAACAATTGTCAAAAAACTTAGGAAATACTTTAAGACAATATATAAAAAAAAAAAAAAAAAAAACGTTACCCCTCTGGTCTTTGTTTGATGTAATACTTTTTGTTGGTGAAACTGTGAAAGAACTCGAATGTGAAGTGTAAAGACCGACTATGGACTTTTACAGGTAACGTATAATGGGTTTTACTCCATAAACCTTAACACTTGATTGGGTTACTTTACATAGTCCGATTGGATTACATGGTGCCTTGTACAAGAGTGTCGGGCTCAAAAGAGTTTTCATTGGGTAATGGTCCACCCAATCAAGAGAGTTCTGGTACCTTGTTGGATTTAGTGGAAATCTTAATTACCAAATAAAAATAAATAAATAAAGTTCTGATCCACCCCTCCCAACTCCCAAGGCCCCAGATTAGGTAGTGGTAACGGGCCCTCACAAATCTGAAATTACAGTCCTCGTAGTAGTCTATTAGTAGCCCCTATAAACCACATCCTGCCCATGGATTTGGCATCCATCCACGATCAGAATACAGGTGGAACTATGATTTATAGGAGTGAACTGAACAGTAAAAACCTCTTTTTTTTCAGAAGCTAAATGGAGCACATTGTCATTTTATGTTTTAGTTTGGTCTCCACCCATGTTGGCTTCCAGCACTTTGGGGAAAAGGGGGTCAAGGGGAAGTTATCAATGGTGCATGGCACCGAATACAAAAAAAAAAAAAAAAAAGTTCCAAAATATTAACTTTATAAAGCTTGTTCAGAAAGTTCCAGAAGCTTAATCTATCTCTGGAAACAATGGCATCAACTCACGAGTAGATCCTGTCAAATGCAGATCTCTTAATATCAGTGACTTGCCAACCCACTTCACTGTGGGAAAGGTCAAACTTAGCAAGCAGCAAATGGTCATGGAACTCGATCATATTCTCACTCATCTGGGGAAGTTGGGCCAATTTAGCTAGATTGAGTTATTCATCTTCCATAAAAAATTGCATTAAAATCTGACACTATTGACTTTGGAATCTTCTATAGGCAACAACCTTCAACAATCTCTAAGCAGAAAATGGTACCTTTAGGCCCATTCTCTGGACTAGCCAAGGCCTTTCAGGATTCGGGTCAATAAAATAATGCATAAGGAACTGTTCTGCTTCTTCATCCACCAATTCCCTGCACCATGTTACTCGTTTCGAGGGGCAACTACCTGGCCCAAAACACCTGCCATTTTGATTGTTAGAGAAACAAACAAACTATGCAATGGTGCAAGCCTGCTTGTGGATAGGATAACTTGGAAAACAGCAATGTACTTACCTTTGCTAGTCTTATATACATTCCTAAGTCCTAACAATGTCTACCAACAGCATGACAACACTGCATGGTATAACCAAGCAGGAACTGCAGACAACCTTCATACTCACCCCTAAAATGATCCCACAATATAATCTCTATAATCTGCAGATTTTTTCTCTATATTAAAAAACACAAAACCCAGAGGGATGTCAATCAGCCCAAGTCATGATTCATGAAACTTCCGAGTTATTGGAGATGAGCCAAGTTACTCTAGCAGGAGTATTCAGCCAAAATAATTTGACTCCAGTGAGTCGAGCTGTTTAAAACCACTACTCTGGTTCTTATTTCAATTTCAACAATGCAACTAATCAAGGGAACAAACAGTACCTGTATTCATAAAAGCAAGCACTTCTCTCATTTTCTGGTTTGTTCCAATTATTCCACCCAACAGGTCTAATACATGCGTCCATCCACGTGTATGCAAAGACCACTCTGCCAAATGGGCCCCATGGTCGTCCAAGATATGAATAATTAGTCCCTCCATTTCCAGTAATCACACATCTGCATTCATTGACTTGGTTACATACCTATGTTAGTCATGAAAGGAAAACAAAGAAGAATTTGTTCCTCAGATGATTTAGGAAAAGAAAGACAGAAACCAAGAAACTGTGAGATGTAGACATGGAATATCTTTCTATAGGAGACAAGAGGCATTAATGTGTTTTCCACATTAACACATTTTCCTGAACAATGATGCTTAAGGCTGCATTTGGTTTGAAGAAAAAGGAAGGGAAAGGTAGGAAACCTATACACATCTTCAATGTAAACATTTTATTCACAGCAACAAAAAATAAGAAACCTTACAGAGCTTCCCATTTCACATCACAAGCAACAGATGAAACGAAGCTCCAGGCAAAGATTATTACATTCACTTTTTTTAACGAGTAACATGAAAAGAAAAGATGTTATTAACATCACATTCAATTTTACCTTTCAAAGAGTTGAATAATAACTCTTCGTTCTTAAGCCAAGTCAATATTGGCAACTTACATAGCTTGTGCTGTTAATATAAACAAAGGAACTGGAAAGGTTTTGAATAGCAGATAAACCAACCTGAAAAGGGGGAAAACCTCATGCATAACAATTTATAAGCAAGGAAAAGAATGAACTACCCACACACTTCTGGTGTAAAAGATCTGCATATAGATAAGTCAACTTCAAAAATAGAAGCTTTCTTATTTACTTGTGCAAAATACTTTTATTTATTTAACTAAGAGGTCTTTCAAAAATTTGAAGGATCAAGGTATCAATTTCATGCTAAGAGTTTGTTAGCATCTTAAAGGTTTGTACTTTGATTTTTAAATCCTAAAGTTTGTAACTTCTGCGAGTTCCAACCAAATCATCAAGTTTTCTTTTAAAGTTTGCTAGCATGTCAAGATTTAAAAGTTGATTCTAAGCTTCAAGAGTTATGGCTTCACCCATGTTTTCTTTATCAATTACATCATCAAAGATCTTGATTTCACTTCTTCACTAATGACAGATTAGAATTTGTTCATGGATTTGAAGAAATGAAACTAACAAATGTAAGTCAAAGTATTTGTACTCTTTGCAGAGCTCAGTTTTCCTCAACCTGCATCTGTAAAGAACCATGTTGATTGACAGGAACCTAAGAGCCAAAATATGCACTACAACAGAAACCATGTCATCCTATAGTTGGAGAACTTAAGCAGAAAGTAGAACTAGAAGCCACGCACCTAAGGAACACATAACCGGTTGATTCCTGAGAAGATTTCCTACTTTGTGCAGTTATGAATCCTGCAGATTTGCAGTGGATATGGCAATGCTCCAAAAGAGCAGTGCTATTCCCAAAGATGAAGTCCACACTTCCTTCAATATAACAATCCTTCAAGTACTGTTTTCCATAATGCAAATACAATGTATCCTGCACAAGTATTGCAGAGAAAAAGAAATTATCACCGGAAAGTTCAGAGGAGGGGAAAAAAATAGATGAAGTACACACTTCCTTCAATGTGTCTTGATTCTTTGCCAAAACTAGTCCCTAGTTGCCCAATATCCATCACTTGGGCCCAACTAAACATAATGATGTAGTTGACAGATAATAACCATATGAAACTCCTACCATCTAATGAATGAAAATTTTCACCTTCTAGGTTTCTCCTACTTTTCTTGGGAGAAAAGGGAAATGTACAAACACTTATTTTCCCTATGTAAAACCATGTACTAGATCTTTTCAAGGAAATTATTTGTTTGTCCAACTCACAGGTGGGTAGGATACCTACAACTAGGAGAGAGAGAGAATTCAAGATTTTACCAGCTTGAAGAATCCATCTTCATAACTCACTCTTAACATTTTAACATTTAAATTGATAAAATTCTTAATCCAGTATCAACATTTACCTTTTCTCTTTGGTATTTAAATTCACGTTTAACTCTTCCTATGGGAGCTTTAAGAAATTTTTGGCAATAAAACATAACCATTCTGTATGTTAACGTATTTACTAGTATTGAAAAAAGTGTGAAAGCTAATTACAGTTGAACCACTCTTACTCTGCTGAATTCTCTTCATTCATAAATGGTTTTGCAATAACATCCATAAAAATGGTTCAAAAAATACTTCCCATGATTTCTATGATGTTCATTAGAGAAATGAGAAAGACACTTTAGCAATTAAAAGTGGAATCAAAATCAACCCAAAAGTCTGAACCAAATAAAGCATGCTAAGATGGATTCACTAGCTAGAGACGGAGCTGGTAAGGATGACTTGTTATTGATAAAAAACATCATCAGCACGTTATCAAAATTACAACTTTTTATGGGATTTATTAACATTACAACTTTTGGACCAAAATTACAAAGCTAAGTATACCTGCCACCCAAGAAACCTGCAATTATAGAAGGCACATCGATCAGCTGTTACTCTAATTGCCACAGCTTGGCCCGAACCCTGGAACATTAAGAAGCTAAACAAATTAATCAACACTGTCTATATGTTCATTTTTTATGCAGATTACGGACTGTTAGGCTTTCAGCCAGACAACTGGGTTCAAAAATTCAAGTCTCGGCAATGGAAATTCTTTACTTTTATAAAACGAAGAAGGAATAGAAAAAGAAAAGAAAAGAGGAAGGCATTTATTAATTACATTTTCTTTTTAATAATACGCTGTAGCAATGCAAAACAAGACGGGGAAACAATATCGATTGTATCAGAAGCCTACCTCAGGAGCAGAGTTCTCGAACGTAATATTCTCGGCAATGAAATCCTCTCCTTCGACGATGGTACTCCCACATCCGAATGTTCCCGTTCCAATCACACGAGACCCCTGCAATTGAATATCAGATTATACGAGTAGGGAGGAGATGAGTCTTGAGAATCTCAAGTTGAAACAATTACCCATCGAGAAATATCGTTGAAAAGAAAGAAGAAAAGAATGGGCTTTAATTTAAAGAGAAGATGAAGGGTACCTGATGGTGATCGATTTTGGTGGCGGTGTTGTTCCAGGTGAGGACGGTGCCCTCAGGGCGCAGCCCAGCCAGGGTTATTAGATTCTTCGTCTTGGGCACATACACCGGCTGCTTGTACACCCCCGGCGACACCCGAATCACCGTCCGGCATGTATTTCCCAGTGGTACCGCATCGATCGCCTCCTGGACCGTCCGATAGTCTCCGCTCCCGTCCTGTGATACCTTCAGCACTCGAACTGACATTCTCTCTCTCTCTCTCTCCTTCAGTGATCACTGATCACTACTACTAGCTCATGGATCCATTTTTGCTGAGACTGAGAAAGTACGCAACAATAATTCGCAGCATCTTTCATCTTTGTTTTGTAATTCACCAATTTTTGTATTTTACCCGTTTTATTTATTATCTCCTCTTGCAAAACTCCCACTCGCGGCAACATTTTTTTTGACTATCAGAAAGCAGACCATCAGAAAACGTGGCGCAAATTCACACGCTTATGGCCCACAGAAACATTCTGTCTATTCGATTGTATGGTCTACACTCTAGATTCCAGATCAACGATTCATAGTGCTCCTTGAAACCTGATCCATTATTTATCGGCTTTATAGGGGTAGTTTCGAAATTCTCGACAGATCCGGGACTTCTTTGGTAAGATTGAGACATAAAAATCCGCGCAGATCTCCACCAGTCCACTGTTGTCTTCACTCTTCACCGATCACCAGATCAAGAAGCAGGAAAGGAAGAAGAAAAGCCATGCCTTACTACTCGAGAGGCGACGACGCTGCTGACGACTTTGACGAGTACGATCCGACGCCGTACGGTGGAGGATACGACATCGGCCTTACTTATGGCCGATCTCTGGATCCGTCTGATGAGATCTGTTACCCGATCTCGTCCTCATCGTCTGATATTGATTACGAGAGGCCCCAGTACTCGTCTTACGCTGAACCTTCTGCTTACGGCGATGACGCCCTTGCGACTGAGTACAGCAGCTACGCCCGCCCCAACAGGCCAAACCCCCAGCCCGCCTACGACTTCCAGCCCGAAAAGCCCTATGGGGAAGAAGCCGGCGGCGGTGACTACGGTTACAGCGGAGGCAAGCCCAATTATGGTTACCAGTCTGAGGTGAACCGACCGGATTACGGCGGTGAGGGTGAGTTTGGCTACGGCCGGAAGCCGGAACCGGAGGAACCTGTTTCTGATTATGGATCCGGCTATGGTGGCAGGCCCAGTTATGGGCGTCAGGAGGAAGAGGAGTACAGGAAGCCCAGTTATGAGCGTCAGGAGGAAGATGAGTACCGGAGGCCCACTTACGGGAAGCCCAGTTATGAGCGTCAGGAGGAAGATGAGTACCGGAGGCCCACTTACGAGAAGCCCAGTTATGAGCGTCAGGAGGAAGAAGAGTACCGTAGGCCCACTTACGAGAAGCCCAGTTGTGAGCGTCAGGAGGAAGAATACCGTAGGCCCACTTACGAGAAGCCCAGTTATGAGCGTCAGGAGGAAGAAGAGTACCGTAGGCCCACTTACGAGAAGCCCAGTTATGAGCGTCAGGAGAAAGAGGAATATAGGAGGCCCACCTATGAGCGTCAGGAGGAAGAGGAGTATCGGAGGCCTACTTATGAGAGGCCCAATTATGGGCGTCAAGAGGAAGAGTATCAGAGGCCCACCTATGAAAGGCCCAGTTATGGGAGGGGTGACGAGGAAGAGGAGCCTCGGAGGCACCAGGAGCCCAGTTATGGAGGAGAAGAGTATGGTCGTACCAACTCTGTGAGTAGATCTCTTCGCTCAGTTTTTCTATTCATATCGTCTGGTAAAGCGAAATTGAATCCAAAATGCTTTCCTTTCTTCGTGTTTAGTCTTTCTCATCTGATAATCTGATTAATTCTTTTGGTAATGAAAGCATGATTATCTGATCTGTTAATCTTATCATAGTTCTACGAAACATGTTTATTAAGGCAGTTTTCTGTGAATATACGGATACCCATTTTATTTCTCTATTTTTAATAGAATGCATGCGCTTCGTTTAATGTTGATCGTAGCTGTAATTGGATTGTGAATATTGAGAAATGCTTTTTTTTGAGAAAAAAGCATAATATCATTAATACCAAAAAATCATGTACAACTAGTAGTTGTAGACAAAGGATTACAAAAAAGCTGCCCATGCAGCATTATGCTCCCAAACCCTGCTTTACAAAAAGGATATCATTTACAAAGAAGGAACTGCAATTTCTGTTTTTGAACAATTTGCTTATAGCAAGCCAAGAGAAGTAGAGAACATCTTTCCCAAAATCTTATGAAATGGTGAGCGTATAGAGCTGCTTTTATTCTTGAAGATCCTTGCATTTCTCTCCTGCCATATTCCACGCCACCTTTCCCCTCTTATATAAATCGTCAATCCCCCAGCCCTTTACAAACTCCACCACTTTTTTCTGGGCAGCAGCTACTCACCTCGAACAGCTTCCAGGTTTTATATGTTTTCTTTCCTTCCTGTGTGGCTGTGGTGGAGGAGAGTTTCTTCTGCTTGTGGAATTGTTATTTTTGGAAGCTTTGAGGCATCTATGAAGAATATGTTAACTAGTGAGCATTTTTATTTCTTTGGTCAAAAATATACAAACTTTAGTTGTAGCAAAAGCTAGTCTTCTTACAGCCGGGGGTGTGGGGCGGGAGATTCACATGCACCCAAAAAAAGCTAGTCTAGTCTTCTTAGGAACTTCTCTTAGATTCGGATAATCTTGATTCCTTTTTAATAATGCTCTGCACTTGTGCTTATGATATTTTGTTATATGAAATGTATAGTGAATTAGTGATAAAGTTGCTAATCAGATGGGACAATAGTCTGTCTCACTTGCCATTGATTTCTTATGATATTACCTTAGGAAGTCCATAACTAAGATGGTTCCAGTGATTTATGAGTGCTTAAATATATTTTATGTCCATAACTACACATTGAGCTGGTTTTTTTTTCATTCCTCTAAAAAAATCTGCTTTTTTCAAGGTAAAGTTGTTTTCTTCAGTTACTATTTGTGCTTCAATTTCAGCATTTGATCTCCCTTCTCGTTTCTCTCATGGATGAATTGGGTCTCCTTGGTGAAAGAATTGGTAGAGAACATCTAAACTACCAATGCATGAAAGCTTGAGGCTTAAGCATAACCATGGGAAGCTACTTCAGGGTATATCCCGGATTACCAAACAAATGTGCTAATGAAGTATTGTTTAAATGCCAAAAATCCTTCTCACATTTCAGAACCATTGAGGGCTCTGTTGGGCTCACTACTTCTCACACATCTTGGCATGCGAAGTTGGATTTCAGTTTTGGTTTGGAAAACAAATGGACCATGTCTGTCTCAGTACCTTTTTGGCCAAGCTTTCTGCCGTAAGGTATGGAGTATTACTTCCCCAACATCTTCATGTATGGAGTAGTACTTCCCCAACATCTCAATGCCCTGAAATCCAATGCAGAAGTCACAGAATCATCCCACAATGAGGTAGCAGGATCCTGAAAATATCTCTTTGACCTTTGAGTCTTCCTGAAAGTGTGCAACAGCTCTATTGAGTCTCTTCCAATTCTTTAGATTTCATTTTAGCATAATTTCCTTCATGACAAAAATTAATCAAATCCAAAAGTTCTTTATTTGTTGGAGTTACATGATAAGAGTAAAATTCTATACATGACATGATCAAAATAAATTTAGACTTCGAAATATAAGAGATTCTGAGGTTGACTGGAGTTGTAATGGTCTCTATTTTTCAACACATGGAAGAGCATAAATGACTCAAATGCACCTTCAGGGTATTAGGAGCCCAGTTTGGATGTTGTATGCTTTTTAGAAAACCAACTGAAGTAGATATGAAGTGTAGTGCCACATGTTATCTTACAAATTCGAATATACTGGCTGCTCTGGGTGGGCCACTAAATGTATTAGGTATGGATTAATTTAAACTATCATGTTGAGTTTTGCTCTCTTCTAATTACTTCTGCATTATATTGTTAGGGAGACGACAACTCTGATGATGAGGAAAAGAAACGGCGCCATCACAAGCACCACCACCACCGCAAGCACAACGATGATGAATAAGCGGGACATGGACCTAGTTGGTCCCTTCTGAATATCCTTACTCCATACTAGTTTACTAAATAAAGAGTGGGGAAGTGTTTGGTTTTGATTGTTACTACAATTGGGTATTAGGAATGACATTTGGTGAAATGTTAAGCCTATGTATGGAACGACTGTGTGCTTATAAATAATAACACCCAGAACTTCTTTGGGTTCTTTTGGTTGAAGAATTTCTGATCTTGTGTTTGCCAAGCCATATTCTTGCATTGCAATTATGCAATTAGAATTGTAGTATGATTGGATTTGACAATCTCACATATCTCGTTTGGTTATTTGGGTTCATTGTAGCAGTGAAAATGAATGTAACCTCTAGATTTTGGCCGCCTCACCAGTATTTCATACTGTTACTATTACTGTTACAGGACCATTCTCCTCTAAAATGGAGAAAGCGGTTTTGTTTCCCTTGATGCTGATTTTTCTATCAAAGAAAAATCTTTGAAAAAAAACTTGGAAATGGAATGGCAATCAACAAATTTGAAGCTTTTTTCTTATATAATTATAATTGATTTCCCTGTGTCTAGGCTGGCCAACTAATCCGAATGCCATTGTCATTCGTCAGTTTTTACTGTAAACAAAGAGGAAATATTCCCTATCCTCTTGTTCTTCCTTCGATCACCTCTCTGGTGTGTCCTGCACATAGCCCTGTTGACCTCCCAAAAAAAAAAAAACAGCAGCTTCTCCATATGTTCGACATAAACTTCGATCTTTAATATTTGAAGTGAAATCGTTGCCATATATAGGGTTTCTGCATAAACACCCTATTAACTTCGATAGAATGACCAACCTATTTTTGCTGTTTTATGTAGATTGGAAGATCAATGTGACCGTGGGATAGGCATCTATGTTGAATCAAGTCATCAACGAAGAGGACTGGCAGATTCTCTAGAGAATGAACGGTTGATCCTGTTATTAGCTAGCTTTTCATGACAATTTTCGATAAACTGTATAGTTGTGAATATTATTTATTTGGTCATTTGACGTTGCAGCGCTTTCATTTTCAATTGGAACTTTGACTTCTCAACCGTAGACTTTTTCTTATGGCTTCCATGGGGGCTGTCTCCTGCTGTGGTAAAGAGCCCTAGTGTTTTCTTGTTAAAAGTAAATTTATTTCAACTAAAACAAATGATGAATGGTGTCACGTATTAAAGAGGGTGAAGGACAGATGCGGAGCGGGGGTGAGCGAATGGTGAATTAACCTTTTGAACCGTCTTCCTACCACATCACATCATTTAGTTGGTTCCCGAGAATAGTAATCACCAAAATCTTTTCCACTTCAACAATGATGAGAACACTGAACACCTTCCTTTTTTTTCTGTTCCATTGTCTTCGTTCCTATTCCACTTTTTATGAGCATGGTTCACAAAGTATCTCAACAATGATCGATACACTCGATCGATCAGCATCTAAAAACATCAGTAACTCTATTTTCTTAGTTTCAATAAGTCCATCTCAATCTCAGAATCTCACCACCATCAGTGCACACACGAGAAACTGCCTAATTCACATTATATGGCATTTTGGTGACCCTGAAAACCAATGTCGATAGTTTGAACCATGTTTCTGAAATATAAATATCCCTTGGTAGGTGGTGGAGGATCAAAGAGCATGGCATTTCAAGTTTGAGCCATTATAGTGGAACAAAAGAGTGGTTTATTAGGGGCACAAGGAACATTTTTCACCATTGCTCCTTCCAAGCCGTCCTCGACAAATACACGTTAAGATTGTGAACCATTGAAGGGAATTAATCTAACAATAGCACATTAACGTCTCTACCTTCATTGGTCTATTCCAAGTGATCAAAGGTAACAATTGCTAGAAAAATTACAGGCAGAAATGAGAGGGCAAAATGTAAAAACCATCTATTGCAGATCTAAAGAAGCTTTTTCCTTTCAAAGAAGGTCTTCAAATGCCATAGCTGCAAGCCTGCCACTGATAAACACACTATCAGTGAAAGGAAACTCAACCAGGCCATTCTCGAGTTAGTTTTCCTGTTCAGTTCCTGCATTTCTTCCTCCCTGTAACACCAAACATTAAATAAATGAACAAGTAATAGACTTTCCTTAGTACATCATCTTGCTGTGCATTTTTTGTTTCATATTCAATACAACAATACTTTACCTTCTCTCAAAAAAACATCAAATAAATGATGAGATAAAGAAATAAACAAATGAACAAGCAATAGAGTAGATATGGAACTGAGCGTCTGTCACAGACAACTTTTTATGTAAAAGAATGCATGCTTGCTTGATAAAAAGATTGAAAGGAAATTCTCTTTATTGCTAACCTCTCACGAAGATAAAACATCTCCTCATGAATGGATGTAACAGTGTCCTCCAACTTCTTCAGCTCCAGTTCCATGACCTGGACAGGAAAACAATAATTGAATATGGATTCATACTTCATTGTCTATTAGTTTTGGAAAGACTGACAACATTTGTCCTTGTATGCAAAAAAAAACCCTAAAATAGCAACAGGTTACAGAATAAATATTAAAAAATGGAAAAATCCCAATATTCCAAGGAAAAAGTATAATTAAACAATGAAACAAACAGCTAAAAACATCAAGTTTAAAAATGTACTACAAATCAATTATTGAACCACCAAAGACAAAAGCAAGTAAAAATGGCCACAAAACTCCTATCTCCACCAGTTAGAAACCTTAAAGCCAATTGGGCTGGCCTAACCTTTCACCAGTTGTCTTTTCAGCAATCTATGACACTCGAAATAAGTCCACAGATGAAGCTGTGGACCTCAATCATCAGTTTCTAAAATCAATTCATTTTCTAATCATATAATCAATCTTCCACTTCATCCAAAAAGAAAAAAGCAAAAGAAATGGTTTGCAACTTGCAAGGACATTAGTTAACAGATCCAAAATGTGTTTTAAAACAAAGCCATCCAATCATAATGAAGCAATCTATAAAATACATTAGTTAGCAGAATGATACTACTTTCCTAGCAATGTGCGTTCAAGAAGCAAAACAGCTGCACACTGCGTCTAAATGCATCCTAGTTGCTGGAGGTGTAAATAAATCAACTTTGTTTTGCCTAATTTGTTTTTCTGCAATCAATTGCTATACTAGTTCATAGATGATTCAACCATTAACCATATTATATATAAATTTACTTTTATTCTACTACAAAAAAGCATATTATATAGTTTATGGGAGATGGTTTCGCTAGAAAAGTCATCCAGCAAAGAGATGTAAGAGATATGAAACTTCCACATGGCAGTGTAGGCTCATGGAAGAAGTTTCAGCCTACCAGCCCTTGCCAATATGGCTGAAAATTTCTCTAATAGGCATTTTTAATTGAAAAGTCGTCTAGCAAAGAGATGTAAGAGATGTTAATCTTCCACATGGCAGTATAGGCTCATGGGAGATGTTTCAGCCTACCAGCCCTTGCCAATGTGGCTGAAAATTTCTCTAATAGTTTTATTAGAAACCTGAAACTTTCAATGGCTAGAAACACCTGAAGCAAGATCCCATATGTGGCGAGTATGGAGTTGGCATGGAAAGGGAAGTAAGCTCATGGACAATCTAGAGGATCCTCCCTCTAATGAAAAGTTTGCATCCACCAAATCATTCCTCCACTTTGCTGAAATAGAATTGTAGAAAAGGTCATCTAGGTTCTAGACAAGAACTGAAGTAACCTATTGAGAAGACCATTGCCATGATGTTTACCATCAATCCAAAAGTCCTGTTTCATTTTTTTCTCCTCCTGGTGCGTCGCAGAAACACCCATTAGAAAGAGAAAAAAATGAAGATTAAAAAGATGGATGAGAAACCTCCATAGGAGATACATGGGACTAAAAATGTTATTTCTAAAACCCAGATCCAGCTAGTCCATCCATGAAAGCATTTTCCTTTTTATGTACAAAGGATGAATGATGCATCAAATCAACAGGCAAACTTGTGAACTTCCATCACTATGTTGGACAATGTCCATCTAGTAGCATTTACGAAGCACACTTATAACAAGTTTGGAAGGCTAGATTCTTCCCAAATCCAAACCAAGAGAAAGTGCTGGATCTTCTGCGTCATGGAGTTGAGCTTATTAACAGAACCCGATAATGCAAATGGAATTCAAAATGCTAATCGTGAAAAGGATTGATTCAATCATGGCTGGGAATTCACCACAAGGTTATTGGTCCATGCTTCTAAATTATAATTGGGAGTTTTGTTTTTTTATCAATAATAATTGGGGATTTTGTTTTATTCACTTTAAGGGGAAGGGACCCATATGTAGAGGGGGATAGGATAGGTCCACATGTGAGAAGTTTGGTTAAATCCTTAGGATAATCCAAAGGCAACCTCAGGATATCTTTCTTTTAATGAAATTTTATTTTATTTTCAAAAAAAATGGCCAACAGTATAGTGACACGATATGAGTCTGCATCACTCTATGTTGTGCAGAATTCATTTTCTCCAACTTTTTAGAGTCTATACAAGATCTTAGAAATATAATAAAGGCTGTTAATTGGTCTCTTATTTTTGTGAGGAAATAGAGGCCTTGCCTATAAGGACACCTCTCATATTTGAGTTGAGTCAGTTGACTCGTGTTGACATGTGTTGACACTTGGCACATGTGTTGACATGTGGCATATGTATTTGATAAAATTTTTATATTTTATGTAAAATGTTTAATATTTAATATGAAATATATTTGCATATATGTAACATATAAAATATATATAACATTGGTAGAATATTTATAATATTAAGTATACATGATTTATTGTATATATAATATAAAATATAATATGTTATCATATAAAAATATTATGTGTATTATATCTTATATATGTATAATAAATACATATTATATTATACTGGAGGCTGAGCCTGAAGTGTTGGGCACAAGCCTGGCCTGAAATTTTGTGGGCTTGATGAGGGCTCAGGCCCAGGCCAGGCTTGCATACAAAATCCTCTGGGCCAGGCCTAGGATGATCACCCCTAGCTGAAAACGTCTGTTAGTGAACTTGAGCCAAAAAAAAAAAAACTTGCAATCTTTTGAAGCTTCATTAAGACTCAAGCAAAAATCAAGTAAAAGAATGAGCTGTATTAGAAAATCTTTTGAAATCTAGAAAAGGAAATGCAAGAGGGAAAACTAGGGAAAATCTTATTTGAAATTTGAGCTACAAATGATAAAATCTTTAAAGAGCCTTGAAGCCCAAGATTATTGTACTTGTACTGAATAGGTTTGAGCTGTAATGGTAATATCTATCCTTGAGGGATTTTACTTGTGCTTTCACTGTATACATCATATGTAAGAGTTATGCGAACAAGTTGGCTCCCGTGAGTGTGCAAGCACTGTCTCAACCTTCAAGTAAGGTGTGATTAGCTACTGTGAAATCTAATCAAGGTTAGGGCATGACCAGCTCCCGAGAAATCTGGTCAGGTGTGATCAGCTCCCAGAAATCTGATCAAGCGTGGGATCTAACTGTAACTACTACCTGTGAAAGTTGCTTGTTGTCTATTTAGTGGAATAGTGAATTGAAATTCTAAAGGGGGTTCCTTGAGGAGTGGATGTAGGCCAAGGGAACAAACCACCATAAATCTCTATGTGCATTGTTCTTTCTGTTATTAGTTTCTTAAATTATTTTTTAAAAGCACACACACACACATAAATAGTTTCTACTATTATATTCACACACCAAATCATTCAAGTGAGCACCCAACAATTTATCTTGGAGCGGAGCTGTATATATCCTTAAATCATTTGTTGTATTTGGAACTAATACATTCTCTCAGCTCTATTTGATGCTCACTTGAAGAGAAAATCATCCTTCAAAATTGCAGCACACTATATACAATATTTGTGCACCACTTTATTTGAAGAAATCGGAGAAATAATCACTTAATACATTCAGTTAAACCAGGTCAAAACTTGATAACCCAATTCACTGCCCCCACCCTTTTGTGTTGTTCATCTGGACAACACTTTTAACAGCCAAATCTGCTTCTCAACTGTAACATTTCTTGGTGACAAACTCATGCAAAGACCATTCTCCTCTTTATACCCCTTGAACTCTTCAAAGGTAATCCAATGGCATCTTTTAAACTTTTTAAATGGTATCTAAATGATGCCTAGGAGAACTACCCTATTGCTTCAAATGATAATATTAGCTCCACATCCTTCCTATACGCTTTTAGATCTATTCATACTGATAAAAATCATATAGTGACAAACACTAGTAATTAACTCTGCCAGTGTGAGCTTGTCTTACACTTCCAGTCTCAAGCCTAGATAAAGGAGGTTGTGTCAGGTACTCAGGTTGGCAGCCAACATAAAATTTTTGGCAAACTCTTATGTAGCTGATGAAGCAAACTCCAATCATGAGCATCAAACTCCAATCATGGATGGATTTTGACACATTGATGAAGCTAATTTGGATTAAACTTTTCGCCATAAAGCTTGAGAGTCTAGGAAGGTCCCATTGTAGTTAAAGGCTTAAAGAAACTGTGATACCTAGCCTAGACATTTTGGGACACCATGCAAGTTCAATTGATCTAGGTGACAACTAGCTGTTGCATTGCATGGGAACAAAAAATGAATAAAATGAATATTGGGAAGTAATTAAGGCACAAATCATTTTTGATAAATGGAGAAAAGACAAAAGCACATCCCATTTTTGATAAATGGGGAGCAGTCTCTTTGTGCAAATTGCACAAAAATTTAAAAAAAAAAAAATGATTCAAAAGTTAGGTCCTTATCCAGTCTACCCATCCCAAAACCCTGGACAGCTAGGACTGACATTGAGTAGTGGCCCTGTTCAAATGTTTAGCATATATCAACATATAACAATTTATTCAGTTATTCTTCCCACCACCAACCCCCCCCCCCCAACAATAAGATGCTTATTTCTACACCACCCACCTACTTGGTCACCTAAGCATAGGCCTCCAAAAATACCAAGACAGTAGGTTATACTTCTTGCTTCAGGCTTCACACACTCTAGCACTTCCTTGATTAAAAGGAAAAGACAAATTTCATTTAGTAATCCACTAGAAGGTCTTCTCTATTGCCAATTGAAAATGAGTCATATGCCTTACACCAGATGCTACATGTTATGGGCATAAAAAACTCCACACATGGTTTATTTACCTTATCCGAAGAATCACTGGGCTAGAGAAATAATTCAGACACTCCCTTAAAACTCAAAGGAAAGTTTTGAATATTTCTTCACGTTGGACATATACTTATAACTAGATACATAGGGTTAAAATGTTTAACAGATACCAAATCCATATTTGTTATGAGGTTAAGGAATACAATTGATTACTGAAAACTGAAGCACCAAGAAACATATAAGAAAATAACAATAAAGTATAAACTCTACCCGGTATTGGCAAAAATAAGTAAATCACCACCATAAGCATACCATTTCAATTGCAAACATCCACCAAACATGCCAAAATTCCTTACCAGTATACCAGAGGCAATTTTGATATTCAGTGGACAGTGGCCCCAGGTTTTTGTCAGCAACTCAGTGGCCCACATCATATTCTGGTTGTTTAGACCCAAACTTCAAAAGGGCAACTCAACAATATACTATTTCCAGCGGTACCTATTTTCTTTACTGGACTCCCCCAATTAAGATTCAACATGGAGGCAGAAGAACTCCCTGCCTCCTTTGTCTTCAATTTTCTTTTCTTTTCTTTTTTTGTATTATGGGGGAGTTGGGGGATTCAATTGGTTGCTTGCATGCTAACGTCTTAAAATGTAACAGATATCCCAATCACATTCGATTTCGTCGAATGTGCGAACTAAGTTAATAGGAAACAGATAATAGAACCGGAAATAGTAAAAGATCTGTTAAGATATTTCTTACATCGATCTGCCCTTTCTTAGCAACGTTCGACCAATCCTTGGCAGCAACACCCGTCCTCCAATCGAAATCAATTGTCAGCGTTACCTGGGGCTTCCTTTCAGGGACCCAGAAACAAGTCATGTAGTCACCGGCCTCGGCCGCAGTAAAAGCAAAGTGTCCAGATTCCACGTTATCCCCATAATGATAGTTGTTCCCGTACGTGGAAGTAACCTGAGAATCCCATAATCGTCGTCATTCATTCCATGAACAAGGACAAAAAAAACTGATTACAGAATAATTTAGAAATTGGACTGAAATTTCCTTACACGAACGGTGATCTTATGTGTGTCGGGCAAGGGCTGCCCCTCGTTCGGGTTAACGATGTGATAATTCCCAACTGACATGGCGTTGCTCTTGATATCTTCGGCGATGCATTTGGTGTGACCGGACTGAAGATCGAAACGAAGACCTTGGCCACTAGAACAAAGAAGCCCTAGGATTAGAAGAACCAAAAACCGGCCCATCGCAGTCAGAGTCCTCGCTCAACAGGTTGCGATGCGAAACCAAGGCGCTTGCTCGAACGGCCGGGAAGATACAACGAGAACACTCGATGACGCAGTTGGAAACTTCGCTCTGCAACTGTCTATACAAGATCTGTTTTTTCGCGTCGCTCAAAGGCGAGGAAGATAGATCAAGACCGGGCAACAACGTTCTTTAGACTTCTAGAGGGAGAGTCGGAGATCGGGAGGAGCTCGGTTATATTTAGGGGTGTCAACGGGTCGGGTCGATCAGGATCTTGAAATGCCAAGAGTCCATGTCACATTCAAAAAGGAAATTTCCACTTTAACCCTGAACTTTGGGGTAGTGTCCCAAATTTTCAAACGAGTCATTGTAATACTTAAACTTTTAAAAAGTGTCAATTGGTCCCTACGTTAATCGACCCTTAGTTATTTGTTGAAAATATCAAAACTATCCTTTAAAAGAAAACACTGTTTATTGTCTTTTACTTTGAAACTGAATTGACATTTTTTGAAAGTCCAAATCTAAAACGATAAATCCAAAATAATATTGAACTTCTAATTTCTAAACAAGATTGTCAATGGATGCTAACAAATGATAAATATGAGAAGCTCTCTAATAACTGATTTAATTTAAACGCATTTTTTTTCAAATTAACGTTTTATGAGAATAGGAAGAATGGAAAAAGAAAAATCTATACATTATATATGAATCCAATATTTGCCTTAGCTTTGAAGATAAATTTGATATATAATATCAATTTACATCTTTACCATATAATTGTGTACATTTTTTATAAGATTGTGTATAATTTTTTGAAAAAAATATATAATCAATTTATACAATATAAAGCCGCTATTTGCCTTAGTTTTGGTACAGGTTATAAAAGTTGAATTTAATATACAATATCAACTTATATCATTATCACTTAATTGTGTACAATCTTTTTGAAATAAAAAAAGACAAATCTATAAGTCGATACTTGCCTTAGGTGCATGTTGTAAATGTTAAATTCAATATACAATATCAACTTATATCTTTATCATTTAATTGTACATATGCAAAAGTATAACACGTGCTCTTACACTAATAAATTCCATAATGAAAACCATTGTTCTCAGCCATACTTTTTTAAAACTAATAGTGCAAAAGGGAGCATATTTGTTTATAGTTATATTTAACCATGATATGTGAATGTTAATTTTATGATTCATGTGTGTATATACTTTCACTATATCTGTTTTATTTGTAGGTATTATCAAATAGAGACTTTATATTTGGAGCAACATTGGTGAGACGCACCACAACATGTCATGCTTACAACAATGAACCATCTTTTCTATTTGAAATGTCATTTTGTTGCTTTTGATACCATCAATAGCATAGAGATGGCATATAAAACATTGGTTGTGCTTGTGAATTAAATGAAACACAATTTGCAATGTTTTGAGTTAAAACACCATTTACACTTGAGCCCCGATTTGGAGAGAATATAAATGCAAACATGTACAACATAAATGCAAACAAATTACAAAACAATACAAAATATAAGGTTTTGCACTCTACATATTTGTAATTGTATTTATTTAGGCTGTAATGTTGTCTTTATAGTTTTCTCCCAATTGCTAAGTCAAACAAAGTATCTAATTTAAAATGACTATTTAGGTTTGCCTATCTCTAGACTTGTGTAATATGTTGTATTGGTTTTCTTTTTCTTGGGGTAGGGTGGAGAAGTGTTCAGAGAGTTCATATGTTTTCGGACCTAGAGTAAGGTGGGCTATGTCCTCCCTTGTATTTGCCTTTTCTATGATGCATAATAAAATTTCTAGATGCTCCCTCCACATAGAGTATAATTTTATGATAAAATAAATAAATAAATACAACAATAAAAAACAATAATTTTTATCAATTACATTCATCAGAATTTTATTTGAATTCTCGTTACCTTTGCAAGAAATAACTTTTATATGATAAATCAAACTTCAACTCCTTCAACTTATGGGAACCTTACAATAAACTACTATAAAAAACATCATTTGCTCTTGCAAATATATCACCATCAAATGATGCAGGCTTTAACATAACAGAAATGAAGAATTAACCCACCATTTGGTGGGAATAAAGAAGAGAAAATCATCCGCTACCTTAATGATCAAGAATTGAACCAGTGAAAATAGGTTAAAGATATTAAAAAAATAGTTTAAAGAATAAATTATTTGTCCATTTGCAAGTTGAAAAATCTCCTCATGATGGTTAATGTGGCCTAACATTGGCTATTAAGAACATAAGATGTAGTTTTGGGTCTTTTATTTCCAAATTTAAATAAATAAAAAGATAAATTGCTAAAACCTCCCCTAAAGTTTTTGGTCATTGCTGAACCCCCCAAAGTCTGGTAAATGTAATCACCTCCCATTAACTTTTTGACATAGTTGCAAGTAGACCCCCTTTGTTAGAATCCTCTAACAAGAAACATGAAAATGTCCCAAATACTCATGCAATTACTTTTTACCAAAATGTTTATTTTCCATATTTTTCTTCATATCAATCATTACCCCAAGCCTTCTAATATCTTTTTTTTTTGTTCGAAATTGATGTATTTTCCAAATTTCCCTTTCATATCAATTGCTTGGAGGTAAAACTACAACTTTAAATTCTCTTGTTAGAGGATTTTACAAAGGGGATCTACTTGCAACTATGTCAAAAAGTTCGAGGGAGGTGATTGCAATTACCAAACTTCAAGGGAGGTTTGAGCAATGGTTAGAAACTTCTTCGGAGGTTTCAGCAATTACCATAGTTTGTTTTCCAATTATTGAACAAAAAAAGTGATTCTTGTGTCTTTTTCCTAACAAGCATTAAATGGGAATGCAAAATAACATTTTTCCCATTGACTTTTCTACAATTATGAACAAAAAGAATGAAGTTTTGTATATTTTTCCTAATAAGCATTAAATGAGAAATAAGAGTAATTTCCTAATAAGCATTAAATGAGAAAGCAAACTTTTTTACCATTGCTCCTTCTCCAATTCAAACCTTATATATGGGACATTTAAGTCGAATGAAAATTCAAGAAGCCAAGATAGTGTAGATTTCATGTATTCTAATAGTTTCATTTAAAAATAAATAACCACATGTGTAGGAGATTGGTACGAGAATTGAAGCAAGAGGAGTCATGGTCTCCTTTCTCTTTATAACATAGACATAGATGGCTTATAAGTAGGTTGCAGTCTCATTTCTTTTGGTAGGCCAAATAAAGTTTTTTTTTTTAACAATGAAAATGCAAACTACAAGATTTTTAAAATCAACCTGGAAATAAATATGCTTTTCATCCAATTCCAAACACATGGTTCACCCTTTTGGGTTAAGTGGGGTCAAAATGGTTGAGTTCAATTTACATTGTATATTGCATCTTAACCATTAGATTGTATTAGGAAAATATATAGGTTATATATGCATGTTATTATTATTGGAGAGGAAATAGTGAGTAGGACACGATCAAGAAAGAAAAGGAAGAAGATGAGAAGAAGGAAGAGGAGTGCGGTGGTTGCCTCATCATCATCATCATCTCTCTCTCTTTTTTTTTTTTTAGTTTAAAAAAATCAATTTATCTATACTACCTATAAAAGAGCGAATGTCCTATTTTTTCTATAATTTTTATTGGACATTTTGCACCCCTTATATAAGCAACATACAACGGGCATAAAAGAGGGCATATATGTCCCTTACTCTCACTCCAAAAACTGTCCACTTATAATAGTAAATAGTTCTGTCTTTGAGATATTGTCACATGCAAATGCATGTACATGTTTACTAGTTATTATTAAATCATGAATCGTTGTGAAAATTGAATGGTTTAGTGGTTAAATAATGGGCTAAGCAAGATAACATGCAAAATATATTAAATCATGAATCTTCGTGGGAATTGTTGGTTGACTGATTCAACATTTTTTTTCTCATTTGGGTCAACAATCGAAAACATTGGCAAAATATATTAATACATGCTTATATTATAAACAAGGCAATACAATCGTCAAAGGAAGAGAGAGAGAGGGGGGGGGAGGCATGAAGCCAAGTTTCAACATGAACTGATGGATAAAGTAACTAACCAAAGTTGTTTAGATACAACGAAGTAGAGTTTGAAGTTAAGGAACAATAGAGTTTTATACTAACCCTTAACTATTTTACCATATAAATAACTCATTTAGTTTAGCCACTTCTTATAATAGTTAATAAGAGCGAACTTACCAACTAATGGTGGCTCAGTTGGTAGGGTCTCTGATTTGTCGAAGTAGAGACCCGGGACCAATCTTGTATATATATATATATATACATATATAGACACACACACACTAGCAGAGACTAGTGTGATGCACGAACTTTATTAAGTGAAAGTTAAATAATAGAAATACATAAGACTAGACAATTATTTTTATATTTTAATTTTAAATAATTAATAATTATTTATATTTTATATACTGATGAGGGCAGATTTGGCCCTCCAATGACATTATGACACATGGCACCTCATGACAACTAGGTGCAGCCCGACACTTCACAGGCAACTCGCCACCAAGCAGCCCGGCACTTCACAGGCAGCTCGCCACTAGGCAGCTCACCACCAAGCAGCCCGACACTTCACAGGCAGCTCGCCACCAAGCAGCCAGACACTTCACAGGCAGCTCACCTCCTAGTCAAACCGACCACCACATGGTAATTCCAAGGATCTCACCATCGTACCTCACGTCTTACAAGATCATGCCTTGTAACGACTAGTATTATCTCACCCACTCCCCAAATCAGGAGGAAATGGGCAACCTTACTAGTTGGTGGTGTTATCCTCAACTAACACGGAAACGAATCCTGTCGCAACGAGAATTCCAGACCTACTCCACCAAACCCGCAAGGATTCCAGTATATAAAGGCTTCACCCCCCCCCCCCGGGGGTGGGAAGAGGCGTAATCTCTGCTCTCTAGCTCTCTCACAATCTAATATCATTTTCAGCTCGCAACCAAGTGCTAACTTAAGCATCGGAGTGACCCTGCCGGGTAAACACCCCCGGGTTATCTGGTTCATCTCTTGCAGGTTCATCAAGCCCGTCGTTGTTGGTAGCCAGATCATCTCCTGCAGGGAGCAGCCGGACATGCGCCACATCATTTGGCGTCGTCTGGGGGAAACTCTACAAAAAGCTAAGTTCTCATCCTCTAAAAGGACTAAGTCCTCTACTTCCAGAA